TGCGCGGGCTGCAGATGGGATGAGCAGACGACACGGGTCACTTGACTCGACCGAGAGTCAGCCTGCCTGGTGGGACAAGCAGTGCGAGTCAGCGAAGCGTGACAAGTACCGGGCTCTCGACAAGTTCAGATTGACAGACGCTTCAATGGATTTTCGAAAATATCAACAAATGAAACGTGTCTTTAAATCAACATGCAAACTTAAGAAATCCTCTCATCAGTTACATATTAAAGAGAAGTTCCATAACATTCGTGACAACCCTGAGGAATTGTGGAAAGCTATTAAATCAATTAAAGGTACTTCTTCGTCTACCAACAAAATCAGTGGCACCGAGTGGTTTATCTATTTCGAACACTTGCTAAACTCTGTAACAACGGATTCAACCATTATTGATGACATAACAAACGACCTATCAGATCATGACTCACATTGTAATGATTGTAACCAACTATTTCCTTATCAACTCAACGACGAAATAACACTGCGTGAAGTCACAGATACTATACGGAATCTTAAATGCCGAAAAGCTCCAGGCTGGGATGGTCTTTCATCAGAGTTATTGAAACATTCTGTCAATCACATTTCAGTTAGTCTGACATACCTTTTTAATGAAATATTGGCAACTGGCAATTTCCCAATAACATGGTGCAAAGCTATCATCTGTCCACTACACAAGAATGGTTCTTTATCCGATGCAAATAATTACAGAGGAATTTCGCTCCTGCCGGTAATTGGAAAGATTTTCACTAAAATATTAAATCAGCGACCTCAACAGTGGATCACAGAAAACAACATCATTCATGAGAATCAGGCAGGTTTTAGGAAAGGGTATAGTACAGTTGACAACATGTTCTCTCTCTACGGTATGATCGCGAAATACTTGTCTAAATCAACTGGAGGGAGAATGTACGTCTTCTTTATTGACTTCTCTAAGGCTTTCGATAGCGTCAATCATACATTACTGTGGCAACGGCTTATCAAATATGGAATACATGGGAACATCTTGAAAGTTTTAAGAAATATGTACTCTAAGCTTCAGTCGTGTGTCCGTACAGATAAAGGGCTTACGGATTTTTTCCAGTGCTGTGTTGGTACACGCCAAGGTTGTATGGTCAGTCCACTGTTGTTCATTTTATACATCAACGAACTAGTCACTGAGATGTCAACGTCTAACTGTAAAGGAATATTTATGTCAGAGGAATTCCCTAATGTACGTTCCCTGCTCTACGCCGATGATGTTGCTAACGCCGTGGACTCTGCCGGAAAACTACAGGACCAAATCAATCGTGTCAGTAATTTTTGTACAAAATGGGGATTGACGTTGAATATGCAGAAATCCAAAATCGTTGTATTCCGTAAAGGTGGATATTTACGTTCATATGAAAAATGGTACTAACGAGGATCCCAAATAGAAACTGTCTCGTATTATAAGTATCTCTGACTTCATTTTACACCCAAACTAGTGTGGACAAGATCGAGACAGGTGTTAGCACAGCAGGCGGAGAAAGTATGTCTACACATATACAGACTTCACTATATGTGTGGCGGATTACAGATCACCACTGCAATGAGGATTTTCGACAGCATGGTCCTTCCAATACTTACATACGGCGCCGAGCTCTGGGGATATGAGGTGGTAGAACAAATTGAGAGGGTACAGACAAAGTTCATCAAACGAATTCTACATCTGCCTTTGACAACCTGCAATGATGCGGTGCTCGGCGAAAGTGGACGACCTCTATTATATGTTTCTTATGTAACTAAATGTGTTAAATATCGGGCCAAAATAATCAACATGAATGACGACAGATTACCGAAGCAAACCTATCTTATGCTATATGGATTAGACAACGTCAACAGATCTTCTTGGGCCACAAAAATCAAACATATCTTATTCCAGTTTGGATTCGGGTACGCTTGGGTTATGCAAGATATTGGACATATTGATATTTTCATGTCTGAGTTCAAACAAAGAGTGTCTGACTACAATATTCAACGATGGCAGGCTTCAATAGCATCTAACTCCAAGTTGACAGCTTATTCAACTTACAAAACAGTTCTGCATGCGGAATCCTCTAATCTCACAAATCAGTTCCCCGCCATTGAAGCAAGCGTTAACCAGATTCAGATGTGGCTGCCACCAGCTAATGATCGAAATGGGGAGACGTTTGGGCATAGACATCGAGAACCGTTTATGTAGATACTGCCTTCGATATAATATCCAGCTTGTCGAAAACGAGTACCATTTTATCCTTGTCTGCTGTGCCTTCACCGACTTAAGAAAGCAGTATATTGAGTATAAATACTATAGTAACCCCTCATTTGAAACATTTGTTCGACTTATGTCTTCAAATTATCAACTTACTTCTGTGAATTTGTCTAAATACTTATATTTTGCTTTGAAATTGTATGAATCACTCCATTTGTAATCACAATATTGAAATATTTTGTACTGTGGGCCTGTGGCCTAGAAAAACGTAAATAAAACGACTCTATTGTGATAACGGCCACATTCTTTCCCTAACTACATGGTTCGAAGTCGATCTTTTGACATTTAAAAACAGTTTACACAAAAACATGTACAGCTTCGAATTCTTTGAATTTATCCACTCCCCATATTTCAGCTCCATTCAGAAGAGTTGGACTAATTATGGTATCAAATATCTTTTAAAAATATATCATAAGGAAGTGGATTAAACATGTAAAGAGATTTTGGAATGCCATATGCAATTTTCTTAGCTTTCAATGCAGCGTTATTCACATGGGGGAGACCAAGATAGAGAACGTGCAAATAAAATACCCAAATATTTGTAAGATGAAACAGTTTCCGAAACAAATCCATTGAACTGCCATTTTTCATATTTTGATAATTCACAACCACAAATTAAAAAATAGTATTTACTCTTTTGGATTTGGCTTTATGTGGAACAACAGCAAAATATACACTAAACGCCAAAAGAAACGTTACCCACCTGCCTTAGTGACGGAGGTACCTATCTTCAGCTGGCGTTGTGATGCGTGGACGTCCACTTCTTGGTCTGTCTACGGTGACCCAGTCTGACTGAAGCCCTGAATAAGTCTTAGAACCGTGATACGGTGGCATCCGAGGGCGTTGGCAGCAGCATTGTATGTCGACCCCATCTGCTCCATAACAATGGCTCTTTCTCTCTCTTCAGCTGTTAATCGTGGCATATTTCTCGTACTTGTGTATCATATACATTCTAGTATCTGTTCATACCCTATAGAATCATTCCACATGTGAAATGAATGCAAATACCGCTTGAATATTGCTGCGTTTTGGCGATTGATATTACTATGTGTACACAAAAAATGGAAAAACGTTACTTTGCAAGCAAAAATGTTAACAAAGCTAATTTTAGATGTTCCTAAACACTTTTTCACAAAACCAAAGACACTTTTTACTTGTTTACACAAATGAAAATCAGCAGAAAATGTGTTAAAAGACTGTAATCATAGGAATGATTAGTTTCTAATTTTACACTCTCAGTTGTTTCTTTTTTTAACAGTTGAAAAATGGTGACTTGAAATGGTTATCTTTGTCTCAAAGCAGAATTTTATTTCAACGTTTCTTTTGGACATCTAAATCACTGTTGTTTGTTTATGTCGACATGAACGAAAATAAGACAATTAAAATTCTTCTAAAAAGGATGCATTTCACCTAAATATGAATGCATTTGAGAATTTATTTTCGTGATTTGCATAAAGCTGTGTTGTTAAGCTTTCTTGTAAAATAATACCTTCTAACATATCTTTGATAGTTTTTCAGTAATTCATAAAGGTAGGAGGGTAACGTTTCTTTTGGCGTGTAGTGTATATACCCCCCTTTCAAAAGTTTAGACTCACTTAAAACACTCACTAGATGTTATGGATGTATATATGGTTACATCGAAGAATTCGCCAATTTTCACTGATTTTTATCGTTTATCGTACTTATGACAATAATCTTTTCAACATTACCAATTTGTTGTACAATACATCAGTTCATGTGTAAACAGTACCTTTAAGCAATATGGAATATTTTGCAAAATTTAGTTTAGAACATTTGTCTGAAGTAATTGGCTATCTTTACACAAGTGAGTCTAAAGTTTGAAAGGAAGTATATAATGTTGATAAATTCACATCAGAATTTGATTTTAGACTAAGAGAACGTTATGAACAAAAATGGCACACGTCGCTTGTAAACAGTCCTAAATTTTCACTTTATTTTTGTATTAAAATCTCATTTAGTGTTAAATTTTATATAACAGATTTATCAATTTCAAAATTCCGATCGACCCTCGCTAAATTCAGATGTTCTGCACACCGCCTCCAAATTGAAACCAGTTGATATATTAATCAAGCCAGATCGATAGATTATGTTTTGTATGTAAAGATAACTTTATTGAAAATTAATTTCATTTTTTGTTGAATGTAAATGTTATCAAAATCTAAGATGTTTGTATTTACCACATAATTCTATTTAAACCCAGCTATTTATAAGTTTAATATGCTCTTGTCATTTGTCAATCCAGATTTTGTAAAAGCAACTAGGCATTTATAAACACAATGCAATGAAACTTAGAGATTCACTCCTATGCCAATAATATCATCTTGCCTTTTATATATTTTGTAAATTAACTTATTGTCTTAAGAACTATATATGCACATACGTATCGCTCTGTAATCCTGAAATGTAGACTCGGCCGACGGCCTCCACTACAAAGAAATAAAGATTGATTAATTGACTCGTTTTAAAAAGCAAGGTGTTTAGTGTTGGTCATTCGCCGTCGAAATGATTCCAAATCATTGGCCGTCGAGTTCCATAGTGGAGGGACCGAGAGCTGAGTGTTTATGACCAAAGGTTAGAAGATCCAGGGGCCTAGTCTCGAACGACTACTCGGCGTTTGTTTGTGCATCATCCCTGCTTGCAGTGTGTGAAACTCCATTATGATGGTGATTATGATGTAATCCATAATGACTTCTGTCACATGGATTCCAGTTCTTCCCTATATAAGAGTGAGCGGTGAACGGTGGCACTGCCTAACTCCGGTGGTACAAGATGGCTGCCAATCTTCACGTGCTCACTGCCCTCATCCTCCTGGCGCTCTTCACCTCCAGTAGCGGTTGGTTTTTTAGAAGAATCAAACTTCATGATGTAAAGAAGTAAGTTCACTTTGTTATCAATGCTGTTCTAGGTAATCTGGTGAAATATCGTGGTTTTGACTTACTATAATTGACAGGTGACAGAAAAGGGTGCTGGCGATGTAGCGGTGGGCAGTATGTGGCAGTTATACTGGCAGTATGTGGGAAGGGCAGTATGTGGAAAGTATACTGGCAGTATGTGTGAAGTGGACGGGCAGTATGTGGAAAGTATACTGGCAGTACGTGGGAAGAATACGGGCAGTATGTCGGAAGTATACGGGCAGTATTTGGAAGTAGTATATGTGGGAAGTATGTGGGAAGTATACTGGAAGGGCAGTATGTGGGAAGTATACGGGCAGTATGTGGGAAGGGGCAGTATGTGGGAAAGTATACAGGGCAGTATGTACGGGCAGTATGTGGGAAGTATACGGGCAGTATGTGGAAAGTATACTGGCAGTATGTGGAAAGTAGTATTTGGCAGTATACAGGTATGTGGGTATGGGCAGTATGTGGGAAGGGCAGTATGTGGAAAGTATACGGGCAGTATGTGGGAAGTATGTGGAAGTATATACGGGCAGTATGTGGGAAGTATATGTGGAAAGTATACTGGCAGTATGTGGGAAGGATACAGGCAGTATGTGGAAAGTATACGGGCAGTATGTGGGAAGTATACTGGCAGTATGTGGGAAGTATACTGGCAGTATGTGGGAAGTATACGGGCAGTATGTGGGAAGTATACGGGCAGTATGTGGAAGAAGTATACTGGCAGTATGTGGGAAGTATACGGGCAGTATGTGGGAAGTATACGGGCAGTATGTGGGAAGTATGGAAGGGGCAGTATGTGGGAAAGGGCAGTATACTGGCAGTATGTGGGAAGTATACGGGCAGTATGTGGGAAGTATACTGGCAGGTATGTGGAAATACTGGCAGTATGTGGGAAGTATACTGGCAGTATGTGGGAAGGGCAGGGCAGTATGTGGAAAGTATACGGGCAGTATGTGGGAAGGCAGTATGTGGGAAGTATACGGGCAGTATGTGGAAGTATAGTATACTTGAAGTATGTGGGAAGTATGTGGAAAGAACAGTATGTGGAAAGTATACTGGCAGTATGTGGGAAGTATACAGGGCAGTATGTGGAAAGTATACGGGCAGTATGTGGGAAGTATACGGGCAGTATGTGGGAAGTATACGGGCAGTATGTGGGAAGGGATACGGGCAGTATGTGGAAAGTATACTGGCAGTATGTGGGAAGTATACGGCAGTATGTGGAAAGTATACGGGCAGTATGTGGGAAGTAAACGGGCAGTATGTGGAAAGTATACTGGCAGTATGTGGGAAGGGCAGTATGTGGAAAGTATACTGGCAGTATGTGGGAAGGGCAGTATGTGGGAAGTATACGGGCAGTATGTGGGAAGTATACGGGCAGTATGTGGGAAGTATACTGGCGGTATGTGGGAAGAAGCAGTATGTGGGAAAGTATACGGGCAGTATGTGGGAAGGGCAGTATGTGGAAAGTATAAGTATACGGGCAGTATGTGGGAAGGATACAGTAGTATGTGGAAAGTATACGGGCAGTATGTGGGAAGATAGGGCAGTATGTGGAAAGTATACTGGCAGTATGTGGGAAGTATACTGGCAGTATGTGGGAAGTATACGGGCAGTATGTGGGAAGGGCAGTATGTGGAAAGTATACGGGCAGTATGTGGGAAGTATACGGGCAGTATGTGGAAAGGGAAGGGCAGTATGTGGGAAGTATACGGGCAGTATGTGGGAAGGGCATACTGGCAGTATGTGGGAAGTATACGGGCAGTATGTGGGAAGTATACGGGCAGTATGTGGGAAGTATACAGGCAGTATGTGGGAAATAGGGCAGTATGTGGGAATGTATACGGGCAGTATGTGGAAAGTATACGGGCAGTATGTGGGAAGGGCAGTATGTGGAAAGTATACGGGCAGTATGTGGGAAGGGCAGTATGTGGAAAGTATACGGGCAGTATGTGGGAAGGAGCAGTATGTGGAAGTATACGGGCAGTATACGGGCAGTATGTGGGAAGTATACGGGCAGTATGTGGGAAGTATACGGGCAGTATGTGGAAAGTATACAGGCAGTATGTGGGAAGTATACGGGCAGTATGTGGGAAGAATATACGGGCAGTATGTGTATGTGGGGCAGTATGTGGAAAGTATACGGGCAGTATGTGGGAAGGGCAGTATGTGGACTGACAGGCAGTATGTGGGAAGTATACGGGCAGTATGTGGGCAATGTATAGGGCAGTATGTGGGAAGATATATACGGGCAGTATGTGGGAAGTATACGGGCAGTATGTGGGAAGTATACGGGCAGTATGTGGAAAGTATACGGGCAGTATGTGGGAAAGTATACGGGCAGTATGTGGGAAGGGCAGTATGTGGGAAGTATACGGGCAGTATGTGGGAAGTATACGGGCAGTATGTGGAAAGTATACGGGCAGTATGTGGGAAGGGCAGTATGTGGAAAAGTATACGGGCAGTATAGATCCGGTTATTTCCATGCCTAGCACTGCGGTTGCGGCTATGATGGTGGCCAACAACCCAACACCTACTGCCCCTAACCCCATACTGGTGGCCATAAGGGCGGTATCAACACCATCCACAACATTGAAAGCTCTATGATACTTCTTATACAATGCTGCCCGTGTGTCGCGGTCTTATTCTAGTTGGCGTTTTATGTCACATAACTGTTTCAAGCGGAACCCGTCTACGGTTTCCAGGGGCTTCGGGACTTCCTCTGCGACTGGGTATAGCCCCGTCCTGTGTGCATATAATATATCTTATGAGATATTTTTTAATTGGGCTTCAGTTAATAGTCGATCAACGTACAAGGTATAAGGTATAGCTTATAAGGTATAGATCCTCATGCAGGGAAATAGATGAGAGGTTAATAGGTAACTCTGCGTCCACACGAGCCCCATAGGAGGGTCTTATTGAGGGGGCTATAGAACCCGTTGAGGGGTCCGGTTGTATGATGATACGGTAACGTTGGTTACTGGTCCGGGGACTCGAGTGTACTGTCACCCCGGGTAAAAGCTGTTGCTCTTTACTAACAGAATGTCTCAGGAGATAGACTTCTATGATGAGTGTGGAGCCTGGTACCATAGCCGTAACCTCCAGGGTCCAGTAGCGGTTAAACCTTAACTCACCCCCTCGTATGCCTGTAACATATTGGGTAAAACCGGTCTTAGTATAATATTTGTATTAGGCCCCGGAATGAAACCCCCGCAAGGTACCGTTATTCTTAATTTCAGAGATAATGACTATGTTCGTTTAATGAGATATAAGGTGCGGTGAGGGTCATATTGAGCAACCATTCGGGTTCCTTTAAACGCCAAAGCAATCGGCCTATACACGTGGCCGTCAAAGTGCAGGACGTACGGTGTCTTCCTCACCAGGCAGATCGAATCCTCCGTCTCCCTAGATCCCCGAGTGTGATTTTGGGTAGATGATCGGCCATTGCTGCCCGCCTATACACGTTGTCTTTCAAGTGTAGGACGTACGAGGTGTCTTCCTCGCCAGGCTGATCGAATCCCTCCGTGTCCCCTTGATCGTTAAGTGTGGCGTTGGGCCGATGCCGATTGGCCATTGCTATAATACTATTACGAGATAGTTTCCAATTGTTTTTCTGATAATTTCTCAGGGGTGCACTTTACCCCTATGAAGTGTATGTTGTCGGGTAGGAAGATCTTGGTTAGTGATATCGTGGCTTCCACGGTCACGGTGACCCCCTGCAGACTGGTGTGGGAGTCGGCACCCACCCTAACGTAAACAGTGCAAACGTGATACTGGTGTTGTTTCCCCCACCAGAGTTTGATCCCCTTTATGATGTCGACTTCATCAGGTGATGGTTCCCCTAGGTAGACTTTGATGACCAGCGTGGAGTTCGCGGGTAGGCTCGCCAGGATGTTGACCACGCCAGCGAATTCAGATACCAACAGCAATGTCACGTCTTGCACTCCCGGTTTACTCGATAGAATGTGGGATGCCATACTGGCGACTGGGCTGATGACTACGCAACGTCTCTGCGCCGGGACGTAAGCTACGAGCAGGGTTCCGTTGTTCACGACTTTGTTTAGGTAGTTGTCTTTGTTCTCCTTGAACACGTAGGGGGAGCCAAGCCTAATGTTGAGAAACCAGTCGACTTTAGCGGACAACAACACCCACTTGTCGTCGTCGGTGAAGACGAGCGTATATGGTTTGTTTCGGGCGACGGTCGTGCTATTGACATTTTCTAAGTCGAACAGTTTGCCTCCGAACGATTGGGATACCGCCCATCTATCATCACGGATACGGACTAGGTCGAACCGAGTGTTGAGGGCCGCTCCTGAGACATCTAGTATGTCACCTAGGGTTCTACCGATGGAGGGGACTTCAACGCGTTTGTAAATGTTGTTTTTCAGTTGCAAGGCGTACAGTTTAACATCTACTCCGGGGTCGTCGAATCCGCGTGTGTCCCCGAGGTCGGAGATCCCTGCATTGATGCATTTTTTCAACCTCATCCCGGGGCCTTGTGCGCTGGTCATTTGATGTGCAGCGTTATGCTGAGGTATCCTATATTCACAGGATTATGATTTATATCTAAGACCAATATTATCAGCTCCGGGATGTTGCCCCGGGTTAACCTCTTATACTGCCGAGGTGAAAACGATTCGGTTCTGCCGTCGTTGTATTTCTCCGTTTTCACCGGTACGGCTCTCAGTATCGTGGAAGGGTGACCCCCTTGAATGTTGTCCGTTGTGCTCAGCTGACCGAGATGAACGCACAGCTCACCGATGCACGGTACTAGGTCGGGTAACTTCGCCTGTGGCGGTAGTTGTTGGTTTTATCTCGTCCGGCGGCATACCGAGTGTCCTCGCCAATGGCCGGCCGAGCCTCAAGGGGTTTATTCCGTTGTTGATTAACACCACTGTGCCGTTTGAGTCGTTCATCTTGAGTTCGGCCCCCAAGGGTTTGAAGACCTCGTCACTTAGCGAGCACACGCTGTAGTA